CGGACGCCATCAACGAGCTGCTGGACGTCGACGACGACCTCGGCCCCACCCTCGTCCGTCTCGCGTGGCACGCCAGCGGCACGTACGACAAGATCTCTGATACCGGCGGCAGCGACGGCGCCACCATGCGATTCCCCCCCGAGAGCGCCTACGACGCTAACGCAGGCCTCGGCGTCGCCAGGGCCGCGCTCGATCCCATCAAGAAACGCTTCCCCGGCATTACGTACGCCGACTTGTGGACGGTACGTTGAAAACGCCCCCCTTTCTTTTGTCTTTTTGCTTTCGGGGAGGCCCGCTTTCGCTGTGGACCATGCCCCGGTGGCTGACGCGCGTTTGTGTGATGTAGCTTGCGGGCGCCGTAGCGATCGAGCACATGGGCGGGCCGCAGATCTTGTGGCGGCCCGGGCGTCGCGACTCACGCGACGGCAAAGCGGCACCGCCGGACGGGCGCCTGCCGGACGGCGATAAGGGCAAGGTCGGGGCGACCATCCGCCACGTGCGCGATATTTTTGTCCGGCAAGGATTCAATGACAGGGAGATGGTCGCGCTCATCGGCGCCCACGCCATCGGGAGATGCCACACCGATCGCAGCGGGTACACAGGGCCCTGGACTAGGGCTCCGACTACCTTCTCCAACTTGTTCTTCAAGGAGCTCACTGAGAATACTTGGACGTTGAAGCAGTGGGATGGACCGGACCAGTTTGAAGGTAAGGTTTTGCTTGGGGCGATCTTGGGGACGTGTGGAGGCGATGGTAGAGGCTAACATTTTTATGGTTGTTTTGTGTGCTTTGTGATGCAGATCCGACTGGCGATCTCATGATGCTGCCAGCTGATATGGCGCTTCTGTGGGATAGGGAATTCCGCAAGTATGTAATGGAGTTCGCAAAGGACGAGGACAAGTTCTTCGAGGAATTTGCCAAGGCCTTCCAGAAGCTCGAGGAGAATGGTGTCAGGGCGTTTCGGGGCCCGGGCGCCGCAGGGAAGACATGGTATCAACTCTGGTAGGCCGAAGTAGAGCAGTGTGCGGTCTAGTTTTTTTTTTTGAGAGGTTTGCAACTTGCATGTGCTTCTATTGTGTGGCAAAAGGAGGCATGTGCGCTCGATGCTTCTTGTTGAGTGATGGACCGTAGGTTTTTCTCTCTACTTCCGGCCTTGTCAGAAGTCGTATTGTTGTAGTAAACTCTTTTGTGGCTTTGGACGTGCCACCGAGCGGTGCCAAGTTTGTTGCCGATCATGTCGGATACGTGTACATCCAGTTTCTTCACAGGAAACCAAATTTCGGGCGCTGCAACGTACTGTCCTGTACAGCAAGGCAGCGGCACCTTCCGAACGCTGTCAACATCAGCATTCACGGTCGCCCGCAAGAGGCCTCAACCTTTGCGCCTGACCGCCGTCTCCCCGCAAACCACTTCTCTCATTCCCGGCCTCTCGTCATGCTTCGAATACCCTCCTTCCTCCCCACCGCCCTCCTGCTCCTCCTCTTCCCGTGCGCGCATGCCGATCTCCCCTCCGCCCTCCTTTTCCCCCGCCCCGCCGCGCGCCACCACGTGTACACCAAAGGGCAGCGCAAGTCCATCGCTCTTTCGGGCGGCCTCTTCCACACCTCGGGCTTCTTCTTCAACGCCTCCGTGGGCGGCCAGCCCCTGCGCCTCAACCTAGATCTCTCCTACTCCTCGCTCATCATCCCGCGCAAGGGCTGCGTCGGCTGCCGCGTCGGCGACAACCTCTACGACCCAGCCCTCTCCCCTTCCGCCACCCGAGTCGCCTGCGACGACGCCCGCTGCGCCGCCCACACGGATGTGTGCCACAACAACATGTGCTTCGCCTGCTCGCGGAGCGGCAGCTGCTGCGTCGAGGGCGCCCCCGACTGCGCTTTCAACATGCTCTACGGCGATGGATCCAGCGGGAACGGCACCATGTACCAGGATTCGCTGCACGTCGCCGGCCTCGATGCCACCATCTCGTTCGGCGCCATGCATCAAGAGTCGCACAACTTTGAACTCCCGTACGCCGACGGCGTGCTGGGCCTCGCGTTTCAGAAGGCCGCGTGCCACCCCACGTGCATCCCGCCAGTCATGGACGCGCTGGTCAACCAGACCGGCATCGACAATGTCTTCACACTGTGCGTGTCGCGCTTCGGCGGCACGCTCGTGCTCGGCGCTGCGGACGAGGGGCTGGCGCGCGCCGCCTACCACTACCTAGACCTAAGCCCTGACGCGGATGACACGCGCTTCATCGTGCCCGCGCAGTCCGAGTGGAAGGTCAACGACCGCAGCTTGTCGGTCCCGAGCATCACGGCCGCCATGCTGTCGACCGGCTCAGCCAGTATTGGCGTGTCGAAGGAGACCTTGATAGCCTTGATCTCGCACGTCAGGGAGCACTTCTGCCACATCGATGGCATTTGCTCCATGACTAGCTGGTTCCGCCCGCAGAGTTGCTCATACATCCCGGACGAGTCGCTGCGCCAAATGCCGAATATCACCATGGGCTTGTCGCGCGAAGTATCTATAACGCTTCAGCCGGAGGACTACCTCATTCAGTACCGCGTCATCAAGGGCAAGATGCACCGCTGCGTTGCCTTCATTGCCACGGAGGGGCTCGCGCAGAAGGGCGTGGGGCTGCTACTAGGCGCGACCGTCATGCGCCGCTATGCTGTCGTGTTCGATCGCGGGCAAAAGCGTGTAGGGTTTGCGCCGGCCAACGACGAAGTGTGCGGCCCGAAGACTGGTTCGGATAGCGGCTTGCCCGCGTACAAAACAGGTGGAAACGAGTCCATTCTCACCGCGGATTCGCCGGGCGTGCAGGGGGCGGTCCCCGTGAGGAATGACACGGAGGTGGGGAAGCATCTGTTGCAGGCGGAGAGATGTCGCGCGGAGGAGACGTGCTCTGGATGCGCGTCGCAATCAGATTGCAGTTTTGGGTACCAAACTGGGCTTTGCGTACCACTTGATGAGGCGGGGAGCATTCCGTATCCCTATTGTAAGGGGTCCTTTTGTGCGTGTATTGCAGTCGGACCCTCGGGATGGTATGTGGGCGTCGCAATTGGGACTTTGCTTGCGACCGCAATTGTGAGTGCGATTGTATTTGTGTTTCGGAAGCGGCAGCAAAACAATCGATACCAGATGGTACAGTCGTATGAGGAACAAGACCTTGAGACCTTTTGAACCGTTTCACGACGAGCCTGGTAGCTTGCTATATACTGTATATGGCCCTTCCTTTCATGTCGATCTGATGTTTGTGCAGTCCCCCGGAGGGCTCTAGTCTCGACGTGAGAATCATACATATACGGGGGGTCCAAATGACAGCACAGTCGTACAAGCTATCGGTTGCAAGGAACAAAACTTTTTTGATGTGACTGCTAAGACAGACTCTGGTGGTCACAAACATAACTCATCATCTCAAAGTGGACATAATACATTTTATTTCGCCTGTTCGGCAAAATGCTCGGCAAAATGCGAACTCGGAAGTGAAGTCTTGTAGTTAGGACGGATCATGAATTGGAACAAACTTAAAAAAATAGCAAATCAAACACGCCTACTCTAAGCCGCCGACCTTTCCTCCTCTGCAGTCCTCGACACTGGCGCGGGTTCAAGTTTTGACCTGAACGCAAAGAGTAGGAGATGAGACAACAAATAAACCCCGACCAACACGCCCCAAGCTACATACCACCCGGTACTCACATCGAACACATTTGTCGTGCGCATGCCGACTAGAGCATTTGCCATGGCAAGAGTCAATGCAATATGCCCGAGAACCGCATGCTGAATATACCACGGTTTGCGTTTGGGTGTCTCCTTGTGCGGTCGCAGGACGCCACTGGTTACTTGGAGGAGCACAAAGATGAAAGCGATCGTGCCCAGAGCAAGATGAGCCTTGGCCGTATGCGACCCATTCACAACACCCATGACGTACGCGGCTACAACGACAGCCGCGGAGGTGACGTTCAGCCCTCGGTGAAGTTGGAAAGCCAGCGGGTTGTAGCCCTTGAGATGCGTCATGATGACCACTGCAGCAGGTGTGAGCGCAAGCCATGCGACAAGCATGAGAACAGCATGAGCGATGAAGAAGTTTCTATCTCCGTCATCCGCAACAAAACCGCCAGACGTTTTCGATAGGTCGAATGTACCACCTCCTCTCTCACCGTGCTGTTCCAGTCTGCCATCTGAGCCGGGCACGGCTCCAACCGCCCATATTGCGAGAGTCTCCCCCTTGCTGATTGTGGGACTACCCTCCAACACGAGCTTGCGAGTAAACGCGCCCAGGACAAACTCGCCATCGATAGCGGCCTCTTCGTTGGAAATTTGCAGCTTATCGCTTGGATTGACTCCCTCGGGATCCTGAGCTTCCAGAAAGTAATCTCCGATCTTAGCGTTCCCGTCGGAATCTTGGAAGGCAATGACGGCATTGCTCCCGACCATCTGCTCGTATCCCCATCCGAAGCCCACGTAGCCACCATTAGTCGGAGCCCGAAACAGAGTATCAATCTCACCATCATCCTCTCGGATCGTCCAGTACACCTCGACGCCACCTTTCAGACCGCTCTGGCATCCGGCAAACGTCCGTTTCTCGCCGTCGAACGTAACTTCACATACACTATCCTCCTCTCCTCCCTCCTCTCCTTCTCCCTGTCCGAGCTCCCCACCCCCACTGGCACTCTCTAGACGGTCCTGGTCGATCTCACCTTCATTAAAAATGACGAGCTTAAATCCTAAGAACGGATGAGTGATGCATTGATAATAGAGCTCGTCGGGTGCGTCCATGGGAACTGTCCACTCAAGAGTTCCAGCTTTAGAAGAAATCGCCTCGTCCTCTGCGCAAGACACATCGAGAGTTTCGGCGTAGTCCTCCCACTTCTCCAAAGTAGCGGTATCGCCATCAAGATTCGAGACAACCTCACAGAGAGAGCCAGTACCCGTTGCCGTGTAACTGGTGATGCCACCATCCTCATCTCTGATAATGTCAGTAACGCCGGCATACAAAGTCTCTTTTGCCCGGTCTTCCGGGCTTTTCGTCTCAAAGCCCCCATCGGCATTGTCGGTGATGTAGAGCGGATGGAATGTGTCATCGACACCCTCTTCGCCGCCGTGAACGGTAAACGTATACGTCTTCCCCTTCTCGACGGCAATGGCAGGAATGATAACATCCTCGCCTGTAGTCCCCGTCGGAGACATGAACCAGGCAAAGCCCCAAGAAGGCCTCTCCGTAATTCCCTCAACGCCGCGGCTTCCGCCGTTCGGTCCGATCCTAGCAGTAATTTCGGTGGTTCCCGAAATAGTCGGGCGAATAAAGCCAGGAATGACTGCCTCGGTCTCCTCACCGGCAGTCAAGCTGCTACACGCATTGCTGACCTCGCGGCCAAACTGGAAGGCAGTGTTCTCTGCGCGGGCACTGGGGTCGGGGCGATGAGCCAGTGGGACGAGGGAGGCGGGGTTGAGGCTGCCGAGGGCCCAAACAATGAAGGTGTCACCATCCACGGAAATAGGACGATCCCGAATCTCGTCTTCGGCAGCCAAGGGACGAGTAAATTCGATGCGGGTCAAGTCATCCGTGACGTTACCCGTGACGTCATCAATGTTATTCTGGCCAGGGGTATCGCGAGCGACAGCGTCTGGACATACACCTTCTCCCGACGTACAAGGGGCTCGCTTCGTGACGTGATAGTCAATAGCGTTGGGACTATCGTCGATAAAATACGCAACGGTAATATCACTAGGCACAATGCAACACAAAATGAGAGAAAGTCAGTGATACAATTGAGTGTTAAAAGGTTGTGCGCAAGGACAAAAAAGAAATGGGAGAAGAAATGGGACTTACCTGTCATCCATGTTAGTCCTGTCATCGCTTCCACTAATACCAAAGGCCATATAGTCGCCCTCCTTGACTCTACCAAGCAGCTCGACCTGTACATTCTCGCCGTCGATCCTCCATCTGGCCTGGAACTTATCACTGAGCTCCTCACAGTTCCAGCCTTCGCGGACCGGAAACGGTTCCTCGGCCTGGTCGGACTGATCCGCGCCGTCGGCGGAGCATTTGGGTTCTTCGAGCGTGGGGACGTCCAAGTCTGCTGCGACGACGGAGGTGTCTCCGAAATTGGCGTTGGCAGCCTCGCACCAGACGGAGACGTAGTCGATATCGGCAAGGGTCATGCCGTCCGGGAGCTCGAGTTCGACAGTCTCGTCCTCGAAGCGCGACAGCTTCATCTCGACCTCGCAGGTACCGAGGAACGGGACGAAGGATCCGTCGGCGGAGACCTCGCCCTTGCCGACCCAGAAGGTGGCGGCCGGGCCCTCGCCGTCGTAGTTGAAGCCGCGGATGCGCAGCTGACGGTCGTTGAGCGCGAAGACCTCGCCGGAGACGCCGTGGCCGCCGACATCGGAGAGCTCGCCGATGCGGACCTCAGCGGGGGCGTCGTCGGCCTGAGCGTCGTCGTCGGCCTGATCCGCGATGGGGGCGGAGCATTTGGGTTCCTCGAGCGTGGGGACGGCATCCAAGTCTTCTGCGACGACGGAGGTGTCTCCGAAATTGGCGTTGGCGAGCTCGCACCAGACGGAGAAATAGTCGATATCGGCAAGGGTCATGCCGTCCGGGAGCTCGAGTTCGACAGTCTCGTCCTCGAAGCGCGACAGCTCTGACTCCTCCAAGCAGGAATCGAGGAACGGGACGATGTATCCGTCGGCGGAGACCTCGCCCTTGCCGACCCAGAAGACGGCGGCCGGGCCCTCGCCGTCGTAGTTGAAGCCGCGGATGCGCAGCTGGCGGTCGTTGAGCGCGAAGACCTCGCCGGAGACGCCGTGGC